AGACAATTCTCCAAAGAAGAAATTCAGATGACCAACAGATGCATGAAAAGATGCTCCACATCACTAATCATTAGGGAAATGAAAATTAAAACCACAGTGAGACATCACCTCACACCAGTAAGGATGACCAGCAATGAAAAGACTAAGAACAACAAATTCTGGAGAGGATGTGGAGAAAGAGGAACCCTCCTACACTGCTGGTGGGAATGTAAGCTAGTTCAACCATTGTGGAAAGCAATATGAAGGTTCCTCAAAAAACTAAAAATAGAAATACCATTTGACCCAGGAATCCCACTCTTTGGAATTTACTCAAAGAATATAACTTCTCAAACTCAAAAAGACTTATGTACCCCTATGTTTATTGCAGCACTATTTACAATAGCCAATATATGGAAGCAACCTAAGTGTCCATCAGTAGATGAATGGATAAAGAAGATGTGGTGCATATACACAATGGAATACTATTCAGCCATAAGAAAGAAACAAATCCTACATTTGCAACAACATGGATGGAGCTAGAGGGTATTATGCTCAGTGAAATAAGCCAGGCAGAGAAAGACAAGTAACATGATTTCCCTCATTTGTAGTGTATAACAACGAAGTAAAATTGAAGGAATAAAATAGCAGCAGACTCACAGCCTCCAAGGGACTAGTGGTTACCAAAAGGGAGGTGTGGGTCCAGAGGGAGGGAGAAGGGGATTGAGGGGTATTATGTTTAGTACACATGGTGTAAGGGTTATGGGGAAAACATGTAGCACAGAAAAGGCAAACAGTGAATCTGTGGCATCTTACTACACTGATGGACAGTGACTGCATTGGGGTATGGGTGGGGACTTGATAATATGGGCAAATGTAGTAACCACATTGTTTTATCATGTGAAACCTTCATAAGAGTGTATATCAATAATACCTTAATAAAAAATTAAAATTAAATAAATAAAGTCAGGGATGAAAAAAGAAAAGAAAAAGAAAATGCATGTCCTGGGACTAGGGTTATTTTGCCCCATTAAATTATCCCCACGTGGAGCCAGCAAAGCCATCCTCTCAGCGAAAAATCCCGTGAGGTGCTAGTTGCCGCCCTGGCCAGTCAGTTCCTGGGAGTGACAGCTAAGCTGCAGAGGAATTCTGGATACATCCTTCAGAGTCAGTGAGTTGGCATGGACCCCAGGACAACCAGGCTGGAAAAGGCAGATGAGAATTTTTAGCTTTTCCTCTCTGCAAGCTAAGGCTTTGGATCTGAAGCCACTGATCACTGTCTAGATTTCTGCAGGCTGACAGCAGTTCAGTTCCCTCTAGAAAAAGGGTGGGCACTGGTGGCCACAGTGAGCTGCCCAAGAACTTTAGAATAAAGGGAATGGAATTGTCCTCTGATGGTTCTGCTCAGAAAGCAGCACTTAATGGGGCACAACTGAGAAGTTCGAGTCACCTTACTCAGGATTTTGACCATGGCATCGAGCCTGCAGACAGAATATGTGGACCAGCAGAGGCCAGGGAAGGGGGCATTTTGAGGGCAAGGTGTACGCTGCCTACTGCCTGGCCAGGCTCTGTCCAGGGCACAGCCATGGTCAAGGACAGAAAGGAAGAGGGCCTACTGGGGAGGCTGGTCCTGGCTTTGGAGTGGGATGCAAGCAGATCTCACACGCAGCGTGGCCTTTTCCAGGCTGTGTGGCCTCACACGAGCACTGACACCCTCTGCCTCACTTTCTTATCTGTAAAGTGAGGATGGCATGCACTTTATGGGGTTACTGTAGGCATTAGGTACAGCCCTTAACACTGAGTCCGAACATGGCCAGGCACCGATGAATGTAAGCTGAGAAAAATACTATGAAACACGAAATGAGACGCCTCATTTTAATCCTGAACTGAGAGTTTGATTCATGAGTGGGTGGGAAAAGGCCTCACGCTCCTGTGCTGACAAACCCTTCCTGACCGTGTTCCCCCCACTTATTCCCTCACCTCCACGCTGCACTCCAAGCTACTCACCCACCTGGCTGAGCCTCTTCCCAGCCTGAATCCACCGCCCTTGAAAGCATTACATATACAGCATATATACACACATTATGTATATGCATACATTACTAAGGACAGGTGTTTTGCCCTTTATTATACCCCTCTGTCATTTTTCCTTGACTTACTGCATTGGGGAGGGCATTTAGAACAATACTGAACAGCAATGATAATAGGCATCCTGGTTTCTCATCTTAAAGATAATGTCTTCAATATTTTCCCATTAGGTATGATGTTTGCTAGGGTCTAGGATAGCTGCCCTTTATCAGGTTAATTTCTTAGTTTACTAAAATACCTTTTTTTTAAAAACTATGAATAGGTGTTCAGTTTTATTGAAAAAAAAATTTTGTACCTATTAAGGTAAACAAATAGATTTGTTTCTTTAATATGTAAATATAGTAAATTATTTACATTGTTTTTTGGCATTAAATCATTATTTTGTTTCAGGGGAAAACTCAACTTAGTTGCAGTGTTAACTTTTTATATGTTGCTAGATCTGTTAATATTTTCTTTAGGATTCTTAATCTATGTGCATGAAAGAGATGGGATGGGATCATATTGTCCTTTTCTAATCTTGGTGTGCAGAGTAGGTAGGCTGGCCTTGTTTCAGTGGGGGGAATGTCCATTGTTTTCCTATCTCTGTGTGCCATTTATCAAGTTATTGAATAATCTCCAGATATCTAGAAAACAACCCAGCCTACTGATATGTTTAAAGATTTCACAACTCATTTTTTTCCACTTTAAAGTCCTTCCAACACAGAGTAAGACAAGCCAAATATCTCAGACAACCATGAAAGGAATGCTTTGTGAGGATCGTGAGTTATTTCCAAATATTTAGAAATGTTGTATTAGGACTAAATGGATCGAAACAGGGAAGGACAACCAGCCCGTGGGCTCCTCAGTGTTCCGTGTGTTCTTCTGTGAGGTGCTGGAACCACGTACAGGCTGAAGGAAGATCCTGCATCTTTATCAAAAGTGTTAGTAGCCAAGCAGCTGTTGGCTGAGTTTAGACTCCTCTGTAATACAAGGGCGTGAAATTCAAACAATCACTGGTTGTAAGGGCTTGTAAGAAGATATAACATTTGGAGCAAAATAATCTTGGGTGAAAGCACTGCAAATGATACACTAACTGTCCAATCGGTGTGGAGGGTTTTTGTTTTTCCTCTGCGTGGTTGGCAAACAGGCAGCTCCTCTTTTGATTTCAACAGTACTTAAGTCGCACACGTTGCCAGGGGCTCTGGAGCAGCCATGGGTGTCATGAAGCTTGTGTTTTGTCGCCACCTCATGGTCATTCCCTATTATTACAACTCACTGGGGTCATGAGCTCACCATGCTTGTGGAGGTTTAATAGACTTTGTTTTCGAAAGAAAACATCTTTAAATATTCCTCAAGGAACTTTGCAGGCAATACATTTCATTCTCTTTCTATACCTATCACATTTAATCTAGGAAACTAAGAACTCAGTGACAACCACACGCTGTCCTGACTGTGTATCTTGGATCCTTGTACCAAATGAAGATTTCAACCCAAGGTGGGAGAAAACCCCAGGGGAAAAGAGGCAGAGTGGAGAAGGGAGTATTTACTGTTCAGTAAAAAAAAAAAAAGAATGTTATTTTGAATATTTCAGCATCCTATAAACTAATAAATAAAACTGAACTATTAGCTTTGGATCATTATATAATTATTCCATTTCTCTGGGGGGTTTTTTCCCAGACCATTTTGCTTACTCACTTGGATTGTTCTTTTTTGCATATTCATGATGCTGTTTAGTTTTTTTGGCACTTCCTGTATTGATAAAGCATGTGGGTTTTTTAAACTATATTTTGATATCACACAGTCCATATATGGGTGTCTTCTCCACTGTGCCACTGGACCCACTAACCATTGATGCTAAAGCAAATGCCACAGGACTGGTACTATTGACATGGTATTGCTGAACCAAGTGACGTCAGCATTTCAGTAATTAGTAACTGACAGGAAATGTGAGTATATAAAAATATTCCCTTAGAATGCTAATTTTCTGACTATAGAAAGACAATATCAAAAGATGAATTTAATTTAAATAAGTAGTCTGGTTTGTTATCTTTGCTTATTATTAGCACAATACCTGTTTTCAGTTAAAAATATGAGAAGTGCAGGAAAATTGGCCCCTAGCTAAATACACCTATCTCCATCCCACCTTACCACAAAAGAGCTAAAAGTCAGCCTATGCAACAGCAAAAATTTTGAGGCCCATTTGTGCCTGGAATTACTATGAAATTATGCAGTTTGTGGATAAGGCATCATTCACTGCAATGAAGGACAAAATAGAAATTAGTTTTTAATTGTATGAATTTCCATTTCACTGTAGCCTCTCATCTCATTTTTGCAAAGGGAGAAATGCTTTTAAAGTAGTCTACTTCAATGATTCGAAAGAAAATAATCTTAATTCTCTTCAAAATGCCTATTTGTTACCAAGATAAGACGAAAAGAGCAGTTTTCCACTGTCGCTGCGATGCACACACTTGCCTCCCACCACCATAGAGTACAACCCCCAGTGACACAAAAGGGCTGAGCTGCAAAATCAATAGGAGACTCAAGAGGAGGAAAAAAGTTTATGGCCACTCCAAGCTCAATTGCCATAATTGTCCTTCAACAGGAAAACAGCTAGGACACAGGCTCTCTGAGAGCACAGAAGCAATATTTGCTGCAAGAGAAATACAAGGAATCACACATATGCAGAGAGGGGAGGGATAGCTACAAAATCTTCCAAGAAAGAAAACAAATCTATCACACACTGAGATGGGGCAGATGAGCAGAGAAATGCTTCAAACTTACCTGGTGCACAAGTCTTCAGGTCTGAAGCAGCTCTTGGTAAGCAGACACTCTGGCATCAGGAGGCAAAATGACAGTATGAGGCTCTGCACATAGCAGCCATGGCTGCAAACCAATCAATGGCAGGAAGCAGCAGGCTCTCCGTTCGGTACAAAAACATGCAAAAGGCACTGGGTTGCAAATTTATTTGCCCTTACCATCATCTCTACACGTGTGGATGATAGGGTTATATTTAAATATGGTGTCAAAGATAATATGCACAAAATATGATGTAACAAGGACAATCAGTGTCATTTGAAAACATGGACCTAACAGTCAGTCCAACAAGAGACATCCATCTCAATACAGACAGAAAAGCTCTGCTGAGGATTCAGACTTGGCAACAGACAGATTTGTTGCAGGTGGAGTTCGTTCTCCTTCGGTTCTTGTCCCCGCAGAAACAAAGAATTGAAATGCAGAGACACGATGGCAAAGCAGAGTGAAAGTTTTATTTAAATGTACTCCAAGGGAGGAGTGGGCCAGACGCAAGGTAGACAAAGGCCCCTGATCCCTTAGGCTGGAGGCCTACATATTGCATTCTTCCTGGGAGGCACCTCTTTGATTGACAAGGTGGGGTCATTTGACTGATGGGCCCATCTGCATAGCCTCCCTCTAGGTCGGCACATCCTTTCCCATCACAAGGTGTGGTGTGAGCACCCACCCACAATGGGATCAGGCTGGGTCCAGTGTGGCCTGGCCTCAGTAGGCAAAGAAGTTCTCTCCCTGAAAAGCCTCTGTTGTCTTCATGAGGGAACCCCTAGCTGGGCAGAGTTTGGGCAGTTTTTTTCTTGACCCTTATCTTCCCCTTCCCCGGCTGCCCAGGCTGTCTTTCTACCTAACAGATTGAGTTCAGGCATGTACAAGTAGAAACCAATGGTAAGTAAAGTGATGCTCCCTGGGACAAGATATTTGCTATTCATCTTTTTCTAGAAAGCTCTTCATTTTCAAAGCTTCTGAGACGTAGCTTACTCAAGGAGCATAAAAAGAAATGCATTTGTTATACCACAAAGAGAATATCTATATTTTGATTTTTTTTTTCAGGATATTAGTAAGAAGGTCTATTCATGCACAGTGGAAAAAAAATTAAGCAAAGACCAAACATGTCAGTCTCACGAAGGTGTATGGTGTATTGTTTTCCCATTTAATTTTATGTTGCTATGATTAAGTAGACATATCCATGTACATCTAACCATGTCAGATAGCACAATTCCTCGGTGAACCCCAGATGTACTAAGGAGGTGTTGCTAACTTCAGGCCAAAAGCATTTTGTTGAGTCTAGTATGTGGGGAGACGGTTGAAATGTTGCTTCACGGCTTGGGTTTTCTAAAAGAAAGGGAAAATATCAGGGAAAAACTGTTAAAGAGAGACAGAGAATGTTTACCATTATCTTCATTATTTATGATGCAATAAAGGGAAGTATTGCCTTTTAGTCTATAAACCACTACTCATCATTTGCTCCCAAGTACAAGGAAACTAAATTTTTTCATGTAAAACTAGACCAGGTTTATATCCATTCTCTGTACTAATATCTATCAAACAGTAAGCAAGTCAACAGCTCCAATTACAGTGTCCACACCAAGTTTTCATGGAAAAGGGAGTGCCCAAATTTTCCCATGACTAGATAGAGGACAGCGTTAAGTAGCAATCTTCTGGGATGTGGAGTTCAGGCTCAGACTACATGTTAGTTCTCCTGGGGCATCAATTCAGTGTTAATTTCAACCACAGGACAGGAGAATTCTTTTGAAGTTTCCATTCATTGCCATGTGCTCCCGAAAACCAACTTTTCATATAAAAATGCCTGGAATACCCAGGAGCTCTGAGCTGAGCTGGTCTTTGGAAGCTGAAAGGCTTGCCTGTCAAATGAATGACTGTATGGGCATGGTGTGCTGTAAAGCAGGATCATGAATCTCCCCAGGTGGGATTTGAGGAGCTGATTCACCATCAGGCATTTTGACCTCACAACAGAATAAGGTGGACTAGATTCCAAACTAGAAGCCATCAGAGAAACAGGCACAATGTGCTGGCCACAGCTGTTCTGTTGTTTGTGGTGGGCAGGGACGGAGGCAGGAGGAGAGGAGGTTGGTATCAGCCTATAAAGCCATCTGGCTACATGAAGGATTTTCTCAGCTGTGCCATTTCACACTCAACTTTTTTGAATTACTATATTAGATTTGCATAATTTTTAACTTTAAAAGCAGAGTGAATAGAAATGGATTTAAATAGCAGTTATGAGTCTTTTATTGTTTGTATTTTTTTATATAAGGATAAATATCACATTTCTCTTTCCCAACATTCTTCAGATAGGATTTCTAAAAGTAAACTCACCACAGCATGGAGAATATAGTCAATGATTCTGTAACATCTTTCTACATTCATAGATAGTAACCACACTAGAGGGGGGTAACAACTTGATGATATGGGTAACTATTGAACACTTACACACTTGAAACCAATATAAGAGTGTATATTAATGATACTTCAATTTTTTAAAAGTTGCCAATTTTTTTTTTTTCAAAAATGGACCTCAACCCATTCCTTAGGAATGGGATCAGGGATACTAATATGACTGCAAACAGATCTTACTAATAACAACAGGAAAAAATTATACAATTTTTTTAAGTAAAATATATGGGATCATTTCCAAAATGATAATCATTAGCCCTTAAAGTAGAAGGATGTGTGTCTGACAATGAAATAAATTGTCTGGGAAAACATCCAATGACGGGCTAGATTCACTTTGTAATTTAATACATGAATAATGAGACTTCCATGGTCCAATTATAAATTGTGAAGGCTGCTCTCACCAGCTCCAAGTTTCCTAAATATATAATGTTTTCTGAATTCACTTTTTATTTGTAAGTATATTAAGTGGGGAGACATCATCCTATTCAAATGGGTCTTTGGGACACAGAGCAGTGCTATTCATTAGACAGTATTTAGAAAATGCCGGGGCTTTCTTCTTGCTTCTCCATCTGAGCCTTTTGTGCACCCTTCACTAGACAGGCTCTGAGTTCCTCCACCACAGGCCTTTGCTGAAAACCCCATGTGTGTTTGAGTGTTTACCCCCTCAGTCTCTCCTTCCCTGGCTACCCTGATATCAACAGTCCAAAAAATCCACCTTACATGTTTCAGTAGAGGCAGAATACGGACAATGAGGAGACTAAAACAATTTTTTAAATTTTAATTTAGGTCTTAAAAAACCCTTGTAGCACCAGAGCAAACTGTAACCCTCACTGCCCTAGAGAATAAACTGCTGCAAATTTGGTTGCCAGGTCAAATAATATTAGTAATTACACAACATTTACATAGGTATTTGCTAAATGGCAAAACTAGGTATTTTTACAGCACTTAATGATCTTGAGGTGTTTTCATACACACCATCTTACCTGTCTGGCCCACAGTATTTGAGCATTTTCCCGAGGTCCTCAATGCCCAGTATCATTAGCTGCTGTCATTACTTTGTTAATATATTTACGTGGCACTTACCAAACTGTTAAGAATTACATAACTGTTTTTCATCATCAGTAGAAGTTTAGAAGCTTAAAACTACAAGGCAGCAAGCATATTCATCAAAGATAAATACCTGAAGTGACATCACTGAATTCCACAGTGGGTCTACATGAATGTGCAGGTTCATGGTCAGTAAGTGAAAATGTAACACGGAGCACTTATCACTAAGTTCTAGCAGCAATATTTTTCTTTCATGAAGAACAGCCAGTTTTGTGATTTTTTAAGGCTGTAACTTATTGCTCTCCTTAGGAACACCGACTGTCATTCCCTATAGACAGGTATGTGCGCTCATCAGTAGAGGAGGCTATGGGACAGGCGCTTCCTGTGCGTTCACTTATATAAGGGCCACAGAAAGGAAGAGGATAAATAAGGAACAACCTCCTCCCTGCCTCAAGGTACACTTTTTCCTATACATCTTATTAACCAGAGCTTTCCACACCCCGGTGCCCAGGAAACAGGTGAGAGCCCACCAGCCCTGTGGACAGCAGGGGCAGTCGGGCCCAGGGAGAGACAAGCAGGCTGGGCCTGGAATGCACTTCTATCACCCGCGAGACGAGCAGAGAGCATCCTGGGTAGTAATTCACCCCCAGAAGCGTGGCTACCTGGAGGAGGTGCAGAAACCGAGCATGAAGGGCCTATGAGCCCTCCTCATCTTCCTCCTCCGGCTGTTCCTCCTCTCCTTCAGCCTCTTCCTCTGCGTCTCCTTCGGCTCCCTCCTCGGTTACTTCTTCTGTCTTCTTTCAATGAAAGTTACATTATTATTGGGAAGTGTAGGGGTCACAAATACAGTGAGGAAAGGCATGTAAAATCTCAGACTAGGGCCCAGAGCTTCTCACACCCCCCAACCAACACACATACCCAACACACCCTACACACACAACACACATGCTACATGCATACAACACATACCCAACACATAACACATACATGTGCACAGCATATATCCAACACATGCTACATACATACAACACATACCCGTCACATACATACAACACCCAGCACACATACGGCATGCATCCAACATATACCCAACACACACATGCAATGCCCAATATACATGCTACATGCATACAACACACATCCAACACACATACAATACCCAACACAATATACATAAAACACACAACCAACACAAACACACAACACACATACAATATACATGCAACACACACACACACAAAGACATCATCTTTCTAAACACAGACCCTGCAACTTGGAATGGTGGTGCAGAGGTACATTAATTCTAATGGGTTTCATGATTTCTCTTTAGCATATAGTCTTTATTCATAGTAACAGACTCTTCTCATCAAATTACCTTTAAAAATCCAGAGGCAGATTAGAAGAATAAAATATAAAAAGAATCATAGCAAATAGAATTTAGTCAGAAGGATGGAGCTTTTAAATTTATAAGCTAGTTGTATTTTTTTATAACAAGCTGTAACAGTTTCCTTAAGCCAAAGTTATTGGCAACCTATACATATAATCTGAAATTACTTCCAAATCAATAGTGTGTCTTATGCTTACATACAGAAATGGCATTTTTGTTAAAACAGAAGCTTGCCTGGCAAGAGGTAAACTAAAAAAAAAAACTGTTGGAAATATAAAACTTACAGATAATGAAGAAATAACCATATAGGATAGACTAGAAATAACCTTTAGGTCTAACAATAGGGATTAGTTGGATAAAATATTATTAAAAATAATGAAGCAGATCTGTATTTACTGCTCCCTCACCCCAGAAGGTATAGCTAAATTGCATGCATAAAAGTATATGTGTGTGTAGCTAGTGGTTGTCTCTGAGTAATAGGGTTATCAGCTATTTTTATTTTCCTCTTTCATCAATATTTTCTACACTTCCTATGAAGACCATGAATTATTTGTAATTTCAGAAATCAACCAAAGGTTTTTTGAGGAGTTTCTTCAATGTTGATGACCTCCCACTGGAACACCTAGACAATACATGTGACTTTTAGGAAATCACTCTCCCTATTCTTGAGTTTTCAGTTTTAATTTAGCTCTCTGATTAGCATTTTTAAATGATTAATCCAAAATGTTCAAAAAACATAATCTTAGGATTCTTGATTACAATGAAATTAACTAGGATTTGGCTAGTGTGAGGGGAGGGAACAAGGATGCAGAATTGGTGGGTGTCACTGTGGACCTGACCCAAAATTCACCAACATTCTCTGAACTGACTCATCAACACACTGACATGATTCCATCCCTGGTAGGGTGTAAATTTAAAACTCCCAAGGCCCAGCTAATAAACCACAGAGTCAACAGGCAAGAATCTCAATTCTGCTTCATTTTGACATGTAACACGAGAATAGCATGCTGACCTTGCAGTACCAAAGTAATGAAAATGATCACAAAGCTCCTTACAATGAAGTCCTCCCCCAAGGTCTATTAAGGAGCAAAACAATATTTCTCAAACAAGAAAGAGATCATTCTTGGAAGGTTTCAAAACAAAAAGGGTACAATTAGAATGTTTCAACAAGCAGGAAAATAATGGGAAAGGAGAGGGTTCATTTGTGAAAACAGAACCTGAATTAGAGACCTTCAAGGTCTTGGACACTCCCTCCCTCCCTGTTTGTTTCTCGTTACTCACGTGTGTCACCAAAAGAAAAGAAAGGGTTTGGTTTTTACCAACCAAACACAAGTTCCTAATATAAATAAGCATTGTAGAGAAAATGAAAGTTCCTGTGGTCAGGATTCTCCCCTGCCCCTGGTCAGCTTGCTCACTGCACATGTGTGGGCAGTACGTTATTATTGACTGTATATGAGGAGCTCCACCCAGTGCTCTGGGCTGCAGGAGAGCAGAGGCTGGAGTGGTGGCAGCGCTGAGGACAGAGACTGAGACCTGGAGGCAGAGACTGGCTTACAGCAAGCAGACTTGCTCTGAATGGATGGAATTCTAGCGTTTGACCTGCCACCGTGGGAATAAAGTTGGGTCTAAACCCTTTCACCCCAAGAACATTCCACTGTCATTTTTAGGTCTCACCAGATCAAGAGTGAACTTGCCTGGGGATGAAACCCATTAGCACAACAAGCACCGCTGTCTTTAAAGTGAGGGACTTTTTATGACGAGTATCAAAACAGTAGGAGTTCCCTGCAGTTGACCTCCACTCAGCCTCACATCAGATGACCTGGAACCTGTGTCCCAATCCAGTGGCTCTCAGACTTGATGGGGGCATCAGAATCACGTGACAGGCTTGTTAAAACAGTGCTGAGCTCTGCCTTAGAGTTTCTGATTCAATAAATCTAGAACAAGACCTGAAAATGTGTATTTCAAGAGGTTCCCAGATGGAGTTGATGCTGCTACTCTGGGAACCCCACTTTGAGAACCTGTACAATAGTCTATATTCTCTTTTTTAAATCATGCTGTTTGACAACCAGAGTGTGTTGAGCAATCACAACTAGAAGGTTTGGCCTCAGCACCCACCAAAGTCTTCACTTACCAGGGAGGACTACGTTTGTCCCCACATTTGTGTACACAGGTTAGAGCCCTATTGTAATTGCATAATTTAAACAGACATTGCGGAAATGGGTGAAGGGTGAACTATGAGCATGAGGAGAATGTCTTCCTATGTGAATTTAATGGACTACTTTGGAAAAATCTAATACGTGTAAGTTACCTTAAAAACATATCAAATGATGTGTCAAAGAAGTGGGGGTGGCAGGGAGGACTCATAAAACCCAGAGAGACATGCACCAAGGTTGCTTTTACAAGTGTCTTCAAATTTCTACTCTATTTTAAAGAAATCAAAACTGGAATTTCTAGGTAATTCTCATCACAGGGCTCTTATTTAAAGAAAACGTCTTTATCCTACAAACAAAACATTTGCAGTAAGCATTCGTTTATATATTTCTAGTTGGCATAAATGTTTAAGGCCTCTATGTTTTTATAATTTTCACCCTAAATGACTTCCTCAATTGGTCAAACAACCTCTAGTTCCGGTCTTCTCCTGTACCTGCGAATGTTGGCTATTATTTGAGCACAGATTCTATAAACAAACAAGTCAGCCAGCCCAGTAATAGTTTAAATGACATGTTACAGAGGATAAATTTTATTCAAGTTTTATCCTCAGTAGTTCTGATACTACTTTCTAATTTTTCTTTCAATGTTTTAATTGCACTTTTACATCTTATAGCCTTAATACTCTTAATCTTTGAATACATATTTTGTACAATTCTTAATCTTTTATCTTTGGGAAACTTGATTCTCTCATGCTTTAGTCCTTACTCTACCTTTTTTATTTAAGACCTTCCTTTCTTAAATTCTTTATCTTGTTAAATATATAGGTGTCTTTTACACTCGTTCTTTAATCTACTTTATAATCTTTTTCTGTCTTGTCCTTGGGTGTTTTTTCTTATGGGCAGAAGAAGAATAGCAAAGAGGAAGGCTGTGCCACAGACTGGAGGCCCTCGTGACCTCTATGTGATCTCTTATCCCCTTCAGTACTGGCTTTCTAAAAGGACAGACAACCTGAGGGCATGTCAGGGCCAAGCCCTGCCTGGTCTTATTCACTGAGGGAGGCAGGTTTCTGCAAGTTCAGAGGCATTCATGGGGGATTCTACTGCACACCAGTGCATGAGACCCACTGTTCAAATATAATGTCAGGTTGGGGAAGCAGGTTAAAAGTTCTTCCCAAATCCATAATATTCTCCATGGATAGATTCCTGGAGCCATGTGGTTTCCTCATGTCACATATTTTCCAAACACTTAATGATGAGCTGTATGCTCATGGTATCTACAAAACATACCTGTGGTACAAGACCTAAAAGGGAGATTCATACTCTGTGCTGCCTTGACATCTGGTAAAGTCTCAAAAACCTGAAAAGGCCTGACCACTGGTTCCCTGGCCGCTCTGCTCCCACAAATTAGGTCTCCTACCCAAGCACCCCTTCTTTCAAGGTACCAGAGACAATGCCTGATTTTCTCCTGAAATTACTCAAACAAGCCCATCACATCCTCCGTGTGAACCTGGGGACACACCTCCCTCTTGACACTACACAGCCTGCCTCCCACACCTCCTAGTGTTCACACTGTCCCCAGGTGTAGCCCCATCAGCCCTGCTCGATGTGGATGTTTTTATCCCCTGGGCTTTGAGAATATGGGACTAATAAGCCCCTGCTGATCTTAGCCGTCCAGTGTCGGGTGCTCTTTGACCATGTCCGTAACCATAGGGAGGGATTCCCTCTCTCAGCCAGAGGTAAACAGGAGGCAATCCAGACAGCACCACCAGCCACCATGCAAGCTGTATATAAACTGCACGATTCAGCGGGTGGGAAGGAGGAATGGAGAAGAAACCACCACCACCTGACCTGACCCAGCCTGGCCTGACTGCACCTTCACCCTGAGGCTCAGAAAAGGGTCCACAGCCATGCCCTATTTCCCTGTCCACCTCCCTCTGCCAAATTTATCTCCAACTTATTTTATTTCCCTTTTCAGCAGGCTAAAGGAGGACTTTACAAATCCATAATATTCTCCATGGATAGATTCCTGGAGCCATGTGGTTTCCTCATGTCACATATTTTCCAAACACTTAATGATGAGCTGTATGCTCATGGTATCTACAAAACATACCTGTGGTACAAGACCTAAAAGGGAGATTCATATTCTGTGCTGCCTTGACATCTGGTAAAGTCTCAAAAACCTGAAAAGGCCTGACCACTGGTTCCCTGGCCGCTCTGCTCCCACAAATTAGGTCTCCTACCCAAGCACCCCTTCTTTCAA